AAGAAAATTAATGCGTTTGGGGTATGTTAAACCGTTAAAACTTGGTCAACATTATGGTGGACTAATTTTATCGCCGATTGGCGAAAAATGTGTGTCACCATCTGATCATGATTTAGTATTATCTCATGGTATTGCTGTTGTTGATTGTTCATGGGCTAAATTAGAAGAAACCCCATTTTCGCGTATGCGTGGTAAACATTTGCGTTTACTACCATATTTAGTGGCAACTAATTCTGTTAATTACGGTAAACCGTGTCAGTTATCGTGTGCTGAAGCATATGCAGCCGCACTGTATATAATTGGACGTAAAGATCTCGGTGATATACTGTTAAAAAAATTTAAATGGGGACATTCATTTTATGAGTTGAACGAACAAATGCTTACTGCCTATACAGCATGTAAAACAGTCGAAGATATGTTGACAATCGATGCAAAATTTCGTTCAGGAGAAATAAATTACATTTCAACTTATAATCCAACGCGTGATTTACCACCATCTGAATCGTCCTCATCTTCATCCGACGAGGAGAATGGTGAAAAAATTGAAAAATTGACTTAACCTTGTCTTTTTTCTTCTTGTATAATCTTTGTTATTTAATAGATAATTTGGAAAAGGTATTTTAATTCAATTTTCTCTCCGGAAACTTTTTAGTTATTTGACTTCCTTCTTCAAAATTTTTTACTATGCCTTTTGTTTTCATCTATTTTTGTTTTAAATGAAGAATACATTGAATTTTCTTGTTATTGCGTATGTTGTATGTTTTTTAGACCATATTAGCTCATTAAAAAATGGCATCTGCCAGACAAGTCGGAAAAATGGCGTCTAAAATGAAAGCGGCCGCCGCAAAAGTCACTTTACAGCCATATTTTAATTTAACAATACCCGCACAACAAGCTTCACCAGCTCCTCCTTTGGGACCTATTTTAGGACAAGTATATTAAAAGGATTCATTTTAGACTTTTAATAGTATATTTTCTTTTTCCATAGCACTCATTAAATATTGCTCAGTTTTGTAAAGATTTTAATGATAGAACAAAAGATTATAAAGAAGGTATACCATTACCATGTCATGTTTATGTTAAAGTAAGATGACTATTAATCTTTTTGTCGTTATACAAAGTATTGTTAGAATATTCTTTAGCCAGATCGCTCATACGAACTTGTCTTTTATTCACCTGAAACTGATTATTTATTAAAACAAGCTGCTGGTTTAAAACGTAGTGCTTTAAAACCAGGTAAATAACAAACGATTAAGAAATTTGACAATATCGGCAGCATTTCATTTCAGGGGAGGAACCAGGTGGTCGTATTTCAGTGAGACACATTTATGAAATAGCTAGAATTAAAATACAAGGTATTCTTCTTGTTTCAAAGTACTTTTAATGAATAGATTTTTTATATTCCTATTCTTTGTTTTAGATGAACCATATCAAGGTCTACCATTAGAAACAATATGTCGTGATTTAGTTTATCGTGCACAAGTACTAGGAATAGAAGTTGTTAAAACTATTAATGTTGATGAACATAAAAAATATATGGAAGATTTAAGAATTCTTCATGAACGACAAGCTAAAGAAATCGAAGAAGAACAGCAAGCGAAATTGCTAAGAGGCGCTACAGCAACGGCTACAGGAAAAAAATAAATAATTAGAACAGTTTCTACATATTTTTTTGTATATACCTAGATTTGTTTTCACATAATTAAAGATCAAAATGCTAATTGTTATTTCTATATACTTACTACGTTAGCATACTGCAAAAATCAGATATCATTTGGATAAAGGGGAAGTGCCAGTAATATACTGAACATATCAGCAATCATGTTTCTACCCGCGCATCAAGGTTTTATTTACATGATCTTTCTGTTAGTTACATAGGCATTAACTCTTCTATGACTCAATGACATGCCAAAAGAAATAGAAGAGAACAGTGTACTTTTTTTAGGAGAAAAGCTTAGAAGGAGAAAAAATATCGAAAAAGTAGGATGATGTACACCCTGGCACTTCATAGGCCTGTATAGCCGTTCTGAAATGCTAAATTCCCACCTATGATGCAACTGAATGAAATTTGAGAACTGATTGAGCCACCTTTACGTAATTGCACAACTGTTTATTGTGTTATGAAATGACCTGTGCATAATATTATGGTATTTTTATATTTGATATGGCATGACACTATTACGAAAATTTATTACGGTTAAAACATATTTCCGTTATTTACAAACGTTTTATAATCGTACACCAGCTGAAGTTCGATATCGTGCCAAATCAAGAATGTTAATAACACAAAAAATCGATACACCCGAGTATCGTTCAATAATAACACCACAATTGTCAAAACTAATTAAATTATTCAAAGAAAATAATTATGAATTACGAATAGCTGGTGGTGCTGTGCGTGATATACTAATGAATATTCAACCACATGATGTTGATTTTGCTACAACAGCAACACCCGATCAAATGAAAGATATATTTACAAAAGCAAATATAAGATTGATTAATTCGAATGGAGAAAAACATGGCACAATAACATGTCGTGTGGATGATTTGGTATGTTATCGATCTATTTGATACATTTGAAATAAGTTTTCTTTGATTTTGTATACAGGAAAATTTTGAAGTAACAACATTGAGAGTAGATGTTGTCACTGATGGAAGACATGCAGTAGTAGAATTTGTTAAAGATTTTGCATTGGATGCTAGTCGACGAGATTTAACAGTTAATGCATTATATCTTGGTATGTAACCGTAGAACTCGTCATTTAAAAGAATTCGTTTTTCATTTTACTCATTTTTTTCTAAAATTAGATTTCGATGGTATTATATACGATTATTTTAATGGTATTGATGATTTAAAGAATAGACGTATTCGATTTGTTGGTGATCCCGTTCATAGAATACAAGAAGATTATCTTCGAATATTAAGATATTTTCGGTAAGCAGAAAACTGAAGAACTTATATTTAAGTTTAAACATGATTTGTGTAGGTTTTATGGACGTTTAGCTGAATATCCAAATTCACATGAAGAAAGCACATTGACAGCTATAAGAGAAAACGCTGTAGGTTTAAAAGGTAAAAGATTGACTTTGTACTACTACTGACACATTATGCATCATATCAATTTTATTTTAGAAATTTCTGGCGAAAGATTATGGTCTGAACTTCGACAAATTGCCGAAGGTCGTTTTGCTGGACCAGTCATTCGAAAAATGCTCGAACAAAACATTGGAATATATTTAGGTATTTTATTAAAATGGCTATATATCAAAATAAAATTAAAATTAGACGCATTTAAGTGACTTTTTTCGTCACTTAGGTATTCCTCCACCTACTGATCTTGATGAATTTGAAAAACATTGTGAGAAATGTAAAGAAAGTAAACCACGAGCAGCTACGATTTTAACGAAATTATTTCGTAATATTCAAGAGGTTTGTTTTTGTAGATAAAGGAAGAATTACTTATCTATAGAAGTTTATTAATCTTTGTTTAGCTGGAAACATTTGAAATGCGAATGAAATATTCGAATGAAACAAAACGATTAAGTCAATTATTAGTGACATATCGTGATATAACTCAGCTCATCACAACAAATGCATCATCCAATCGTTTAAAAGCCTATAAAGATCTTGTTATTGATTTAGTTGTCGTTGATCCCTCAGCTAAAGAAAAAGTGACTGAATTATTAAAATATCAAGGTCATACTCAGTTGTATAGTGAATTAGAACAATGGAAAATACCAAAATTTCCGATATCCGGTGGAATGTTGGCATTAAAAGGTATCAAACAAGGACCGAATTATAAAATTATACTTAATGAATTAAAAGAAATATGGAAAGAATCAAATTATGAAAAAACAGAAAAGGAACTATTAGAAAACTGCTTGCCATCCGTACTAGAAAAATTATCGAATTCAACTACAACTACTGAAATAGCGTCTACATCACCACCAGCCTTTGCATCAGTCAAACGATATAAAAAACTCAAAAAAGATGATACGGCAACTAGAGTGGGAAATGCCGATGATATGATACAAAACAACATAAAAACAGCATCTATGTCAGTTTAATTTCTTTTTTGTAATCTATTTTTGTTTTGCTCTATTTTCAAAATAAAAAGTTCAGAGATAGATGCTTTGAGAAATAATTAGTAGTTATCGTCATAATGCACGACTGCTGCTTGTTCAGATCCCATTCCTCTCTCTGCTTTACAAAAAACACTTCTTAATACAAAATTATTTTTAGTATTATTCAGGCGTTGAGGAATTGAAGTTCATATGTGATGGCATGAGTCTGACTTGTAAGATATATATAATATATGCAGACAGCTATCTTCTACGCACTGTAAAAATAATAATAACTCAAATTATAATCATCTGTTTCTTTTTAAAAATTTAGTTTGCTAATAAAAGTAATCGGTATGTGAGTGAAGTGATGCGTAATCCATACCTTTTTCCAATTTAAAAGTTATCATCATCATATGGTTTAGAAATGAATGAGTCTGAGAGCGACGAAAGAAAATAAAACTAATACGGTTTAAAACAGTTGACAAAGACGCGTAATCATCGGGAAGGTATTAAAGATGGAATTGTAGAAGGGCGTTGATATGGAATACTTCGTGATGCAGTCAGTAATAACAAGTTTACTATAAGACGTTAAAAAAACCTGCGTGATGACGTACACAACATTTAATGATCAATTATCTCACAATTATTGCGATGTTCTTCTTGGTTATCTATGAAATTCTTTACTTTAATACAAGAACGTCCTAAATTGACTAAATTCTATTGACTGGCTTTCTCTTTTGACTGAAATCTTAATTTGCGTCAGAATTTTCTCTAAACTTTTATTCATTCAATTGTGTTTTTCCAACGAAAACGAAAAGCGCTAGAAATAAGAGACGTTTTTTACAGCCTACATATCACAAGTCAACAATTAGCTTAGAAAACTAAAAACTAAAAATTACGTTTCAAAACCATTTATTATCTCTTTTGTTTCTCACTGATTCAAAGCTGAATAACACTATTAGTACTTTCAATACTGTCTCGGCTAACCCATGTTTATCAAACCGCCAATTAACGTGGGTTAACCGTCCGTTTGAGTGTGTGCTTTCCCAGCCGGTTAACCGCAAACTTGCACAAAATGCTCGGTTAACCGTGGTTAATTGACGATTTTATTGCTGAACAAGCGATATCAGTACAAATCCTCTTCTGACAATTTTTCTTTTGAGTGTTGAACTTTCATGTGTTCCATAGCAGTAAAACTGTCTGTTAGTCACAGCCCCATACTAGTGAAATTCTGAACTGAGCAGTACCTATCTGCTTGCCATGACAATTAGACGCAGTCTGAAAAATATTCAGACTAAGTCGTCTGAAGTTTTTCGATAAATCATGTTGTCCTTATATACATATAGTGACCACAAAACAAAACGGTGATTGGAAAAGAAACGGTTAATCGTCGGTTCTCCGGAATAACGCGATCAATTGACGGTTAATTTTCCAAATCGCGGTATCAGAAATACCGCCGGTTAACCGTAATTAATTGACGGTTTATAGCGAACCGCAGTCAATTGGCAGTTATTTGAAGAACCGCAGTTAACTTGCGGTTTTCTATAAAAATAGACAATGTGAGAACGGTATGATGCTGTTTGAAATACGTTTAATAGTAATAGCAATTTTTTTCTACTCGTAGTGACGAAACCGTTTTCTTCCAATAGTTGATTCAGACATCGAAAATCCATCAACGCTGAAATTTCGGTATTTGTCGTTTTCAGAAAATTAATGAATGTACTAGTCAATAATTTTATGCCAGAATCAGAATCAGAATATATTCTGATCCAGGGATAGAAATACTGACTGATATATATATCTTAATGAGGTTTAATTCAGCTTTGATATAACTGCTCAGCTTTTCAGACCGACCTGATTGTCGACTAGTGATGCTCTATTCCAAATAAATTCCTTTTCTTTCAATAAAAAATATTTTTAATATTTTTTTCCTGCCTCTTT